GTGGTTCTTCCCTCACTAAACCCACAATGACCCCGCCCCGACTCCCAATAATAATCTGTGACTCCCTGCTCAGTCAAGAATCCATCTAATTCCACGTTATGCACATTTCCTTTGCCAAATTAGGACTCAGAGATTTTAACAGACTCGCAAGAAGAGATTGTACCACGATCTTGAACAGGAGGCCCTCTGATTTTAAAACACCGCCTCAGCACCTTTCATCTGTCAATAAAGTCTCCTCTCATTCTTTGAAGCTCCAGTAACTAAAAGGGCCGACAGGAAAAGCCTAGAATAGGAGGCAAGCAAGATGTTCCCAATGACCAGGGGAGAGTGCGGAAGGAGGGGGTCACAGTCTAAAGGAGACGGGATAGGACTGAGATGAGGAGAAATGTCTTCACCCAGAGAGTGGGGAACCTCTGGAATTCTCTGCCACACAAAGTGATTAAGGACAAAACACTGAATGTTTACAGAAAGGAGTTGAAGATAGTTTAGGGCTAAAGGGATCAAAGGGTGTGGAGAAAGAGTGAGAACAGTGGGAACATGATCATATTGAATGGTTGTGCCGACTCAGTGGGCTGAATGGCCTCTTGTTTTCGATGTTTCCCGAGCTTCGACCGACTCAAAATTCCCTGTGAAGGTGACATCGCCCTGTTCCAGGAATCAGCCGAATAAACCTTTGGTGAAATATTCCGTAAGTACAGAGACCAGGACAGAGAGCCATGGTCCAGGTGCGGCATGCTCAAGGCCATGTGCCATTGGTGTCCATACTCCCCCTACCTGGCAACAACAGTCAATGTTCAACACTTTCTCCACCCAATGGGTTTCAATCAGCTTTTGCCTTCCCTGTGGAAGCAACAAGGGAAGTGTTGGGAATACCTGTCCCTTGACATTATGGCCCCCCCATCACTGCCACCTCCTTCCCCGGCCCTGGTGGTTTCTTCTGGGCTTTCCCAGCTGTCTGTAAAAGGGGATTGGGTGCGTGACTCCCTGTGCCCATCAAGAGGTACAGGGATGGGCCGAGTGGACCGGTGCAGGTGGCTGGGAGTCCCAACGGTAGAGGATAAAAGGAGATGCAAAGACAAGAGCTGCGGTTTGAAAACCGGGTTGGGGGGTGGTCTCCCATTTCTGACAAGGGTGTAGCGCAATCTCTTCTCACGAGGCTGTTAAAATCTCTCAATCCTAAAATAGTGAGGTGGCAGCTTTGCTTAGTGATACAGGGATACACCAATTCTTGATTAACCAGGGAGTCAAAGGTTGTTGGAAGCAAGACACTGCAGATGCTGGAAATTTATTGCCCATCCCTAATTGCCCCAGAGGGCAGTTCAGAGTCAACCACATTGCTGTGGGTCTGGAGTCACATGTAGGCCAGACCAGGTAAGGATGGCAGTTTCCTTCCCTAAAAGGGCATTAGTGAACCTGAAACTAATGGAGGTAAACAAGGAACAAGAGTTGGTCACTCGGCCCTTCAAAACTGACCCGACATTCACCGCTGAATTGACTTTAAGCTCAACTCTACATTCCTGCATCTCCCCCCATAATCTTCCATCCCTTCGGTCATCCAGAATCTATCTACCTCTGCCTGAAATATATCTAAAAGATTATACATCCACTACATTTTGAGGAAGGGCTTTCCAAAGACTCACAACCCTTTGAGAGAGAAAACGTTTCCTCATCTCTGTTTGGAATGGGAAACTGTTTATTGTTAAACAGTGACCCCCTAGTTTTGG